ACTTTTCCTGATTCCGATTACTATTATCAAACAAGGATTGGGTTTTGTTTGTTCCTTTGTCTTGGAAAGATAAGAGAAGATGGGTCTTATTAAAAACCGAGTCTTGTTGATTTCTTCTCAGAGTGTTTGAGAATGCTGTGGAATGTTCCAGAAAATACTTCCCCTTTTATTGCTCTGTTTGGTTGTTTTGGTGACGGGCCTGTGACGCGTGTTTACATCACAGCTCTCTTAATTATCTTTCATAATAATTTTGTTGAAAATTTTGAATATGTCAAAACGGTTGTGTGATTGTGATGATGTCACCGTAACTCTAGCCTTTACGCAATCAATTTCATGAACATGATGGGACGATTTATAGGTTGATTGTGGTGGTAATGTCACCGTAACTCTAGCATTTAAGCAATATTATATAGACTTTAAAATGTTAAAGCTCATTTACGATGTTGGGCTCAAGCCTCAAAGTGAGCTTTATAATCCTCAAACGCAAGTACTAAGTATGGATTAGTTGTTTTCTAAATCAATTTAATGACCAAATAATTGGGATTGTGAACGAAACGAATGCATTGCTTGCTACTAATTAGAACCTAAAAGCTCAGACCAAGTAAATCCAGTGTTTATTAAAAAGTTAAAAACTAGAGTACATAATAATCATGATGAAGGTAACAACAAAACGAATAATTAGTAAATGAAAAACAAATAAGAAGATTAAGAAAGTGTGGTTAACAAGGAATGGAGTGGGTAAACCAACGGAGGACTTTGATTGGAAGTTTGATGAGATCAACAGCGAAATTAGCCAACGCAGCAAAACAGAAGCAACATGGGCACAAACAACTCAATACCGTCCTGCCAAATTTATTTTCCCCAATTGTTATTAGTATAGAGATTTAATATTCCTATATACTGAAGATCAAACAAGTAGTATTTTAAATCATTTATGTTCAATCAACCATATATGTAGATTGGGAATTACAAGGTTTCGATAAATTGGATCTTAATAAAATTTGTATGAGAAGAAAAAAGAGACGTACCCTATGATCCAAATGACTGCACCAACGAGGGATAGAACGAGAGCAACAAGAGCAAATGGTAATCCTATTAAGAAACCAAGAGGCCTACACTCTCCCATTATCTCTACTCTCTCTCTCTAAAACCAAATTTTTGCAGAAGTTTTTTTTGTTTTTGGTTTCTGAAATGGGAAAGAGAAAGATGCGGAGTTTAAATAATTCCACGAGGATGAGGGGGAATCTGTACATAACCGCCCGTAACCACGCGGCATGGTTTTCTGAACTACGAGAATGCCCTTGCAATTCCCTTCTCTCTCGTTGAAGTCAAGGGGGTATTTTGGGGATTCGATGCTTTAAATTTATCGAGACTTTTGAGTTGTCTCGGTCGGAAGCTTCGTTTAAAAGAAGAGTCAACGATGCCATTTGGTATTGGCTTTGAATATTTTATGAACCAGTGAACAACACGCTTCGATCATTTATGATGGGTTTGATTCGATCGACGACATTAATAAAACTAAGTTTGAGCATATAATAAATTCCAAATTGAATTAGCCTAGTCGAACCGAATCATTATCAAATTCAGTTTGGATCCGATTTATATGGTTGGTGAATTATTTCGGTCACATGTTCGGTTCCAAAACCTCTCGTTAAATAAAAAAACTCCTCTTCATATCATCTGCTGTTTGTACAATCTCTAATCACTCAATTAACACTAACGCAGATCGTACAACTTCTTCTGAACTGCCCTTAAGCTTGACAATGGGAAGATAGAAAAACAGAGGATCAACAGAGACAGCGAGGATACAGAGATAACAAACATTATGTTCCTTAGTAAAAGTGTTTTGTTTTGAGGATCAAAGATTTTCTTTTCGGATACTCTTAAATTTTCAGCGAAAACAGCTCTCGTCACGCCTGATTTTAGCGA